AAGCTGCAAACTCCACCATGAGCAGCTGGCAAGCGGCTTTGGCTGATGCCAGAGAACGGCCCCATGGTGACAGACCTGCAGGTACTGCAGGACAGCACTATCCCTCATCACCACACATTTCCCATAACTCGCTTTATTAAAGCAGCTTATGTGACAACCCACATTTTTTTTTTTTTTTTTTTTTTGGTAGGTTTTTCTTCATTTTTCCCCTGTGCTACCGGAGCTAAGTTTTTAGGTTAACGTCAAACTGTTGTCTGATTTCTTGCCTGAATAAAACCTTTCTCCTCTCCAGCTACAGACAGTCCAAGTCTGATGCAGCAGGAACTCCGGCTCAGCTTATCTGTCTGGAAAGATCCTAACTTCAAAATGATTTTTTTTAAATGGTTCATTTTGGTTTAGTCAGCTCCTAGCTTCAAAATTCCTCAATGTTGATGTTAATTCCTGGAAATTTCTGGGAATTAAATAAAATGACAATAAACAACCAATCACCAAAAGCAGTGCAGAATCATGACAGGCACTCTGTTGCTGAAAGAAGGTAACGTTCGCTTTGGGAAGGGACAGAGGAAGAGAGGAGACAAAAAAAAAATATGTAAGCAAGCCCTTTTGCAAAACTACTGAATCAAATGGCAAATCACTTCTCCCAGCAAACAAGCATTAACTCCAACTGTATCTTTTTCCCCAATGTTTTTTGATGCAGTAGCACAGTTTCCTGAGTCTCTGTTAAGGGAACAAGGCATCTCCCTTGTTCCAGTTCGCATTAAAGCAGCCTCTTTCTGTGGCTTGTACCCAAGGACTTCTTTTAGACCCTACTCTTCTCTTCCCCTGACACCAGACCCATGAGGCAAATATCCAAGGAGTCTGTGCCATGATGCTACGAACAGACTGTGATGATGCAGAGGAAAAACCACATTGGCTATTTCAGACAGTCCTTTCACCATGCACTCTCCTACAAGTCACATCAGAGGCACTCAGGGATTTCTCTCATGCTGACCCTCAAACCTCCATTGGCCACCTTGCAGCTTTTCCCTCTCTTCTGGTTGCCCCACTCTCAAGTTACAGCCTATGTTAAAAAATAGGGGACAGCCCCTCCTACACCAGCTCTTGCTCAGCAATCTCTCACCCTATGAGGTAGCTACAGGGTCCCCAAGAGTCAAAGGGTAAGTAGCTGTGGGATCGGTAGTTTGTAACCTTGAAGGCCCTTCAGAAAAACCTTCAGCAGCTTCACTCTCTGCTCATTTTAGCCTTTTAAAGCATAAGCACTGAAGATCAGGGACTATTCTTAAAGTTTATAATGGGCACCACATCAAGCACTATCCCTGGTACATGGCCAAGGCACTGCTGCACGTGTGGTAACCTCTCCCTTCAAAAATGCTTGAACGTATAACAAATGTTGTCAAAAATAAAGCACTCAGAATTCAGTACCACCACAATTTACATCATCTGGATCATCCTAATTCAGTTTCTTTTCGCATCTGTATGGTATTATGCATCATGATCAGAACAGAGTGAAATCTTTAGCCTAAACATTAATTGATTAAAAACGTGTATTCAGCAACAGCAAATCATTTCATTACTTCCTCTGTTCCACTCAACTGCTTGTGTGAAGGAAAAGCATTGAACAAAAAAACAAAACAAAAAAAAAAAATTGTTCTGAATATTTTTAAAGGAGCATCTCAGTTTTTTAAATCTGACACAATTCTTCAAGGAGAATGTCTCCTTGATTGATCTTTAGAAAAGCCCAGCTATAGAAAATATTTTGTTGTCTAAAATAGAACTTCTCTTCCATTTCTCAAAACTGTGGGTGAACCAAAAGCCCAGTTAATTGCAGAGCTCCTGCTGTATTTGGTACCTCCAGTCCCACCTCTAATAGTGCTTGAAGTACCACATGCAAAATCTCTGTTACAAACTGCACGCGTCTCAATGGACATAGACTGAGGGCCTGGGGATGAAAACACAGCCTAGAGCAGTGCCCATCGGATGGAAAACTGCAACTACTGCACAGTTAGGAAAAATGACATTTCAAATGTTGTCTGGATACTCCTGATCCACCTCCCCCTTCAGGGACTCCCATATTAAACCAGCTCACTTTACAAGTCAAAATAAGTTGTTTCTCACTGTCAGCACTGACTATTGCTGTCTGAAAATCAAGCTGTTTTCTCTCTACTTTATACATCACCCCCAGATACGAAGACTCCAAACTCTGAATGTAATTGGCAATTCTCTTGACAATGTACAAGGTAAAATAGAAACAGCATGTTGCTCAACTGCTCAATTGGATCTGGAACAATGACAGCTGTTATAATTGCTATCTACCACTTAAATAACTAGATACTATATGACTCAGAAAATGGAGGCTAAGAGGTTATTAGGACCAAGATGCCAGTTTTGTCATAGGTACATTTCCAGCCAAATTTTTTTAATGTCAGAGGGAGCTAATGGTGGAGGCTGAGAAAAAGATAGACACAGGTTATATTGGTTGTGGCCTGTCGGCAGGATGAAACTATGTTCAGTCTCTGGGACACATATTCAGGTAGACAACAGTCTCCCTTGGGGAAAATATAGGTATGTCTTTGCTGAGCAGTTTAGTTAGCACCTGGGATCATGTATCCCTACAGTTAGCATTGCAATGACCTAAGAACAAAGAGTTTCTGAACATTTCCATGAGTGAAAGATGCCCAACTGGAAAACTTCAGGTTTGGGTCACTGCTACTCCTAACACTGCAGCCTTCCCTCTTCCTCCCTGGGGACCAACTCCTAAGGGCAATTGGACACAGCACTGGCCTTTCAGGTCATTTGAAATGCAAATACAGTTTTATTTGCTTCCTCACCTTTGTCTCAAAACATCTGCAGCTCTATAAATGAAAAGCAACCACTGCTATTTAGCAACTTCTTCTGCCCCTGCATCATTCTGCCAGGAGACAGAGGTCACGCTTTGATATCGCCATGACACAAAATCAGTCTTGTGGTAACATTTGAGAACTTTCAGTTGGGCTCCCCAGGCAGCTGGCACCATTGACCTTCATCTTCCATCTTGTCTAGCAGGACAAAGCCTGGCTGGTTGGGAAATGGATATAGGTAGAAATTTCAGATTCAGCAAAATAGAAGGGGGTTCTCCAAAATGTGCCTCACCTGACAAACTTCAATCACTAGCAGCAGCAGGTTCTAGTTTTGGCAAGGTATGTCAGTCCCTCTGCACATGAAATAACTCAGGATATTTGAGTAAGATAGATGTTCATCCCACACTACACTGTCTCAAAATTAGTGGTATTTGGGTTTCTGAGTCAGTTTGTATGCTTTTGAAATCCTACGATTCTCTGCTCTTCCCAAACCACAGAAACACCAGGGTGGTTAGTACTTAACAGAACTGTATCATAACATTTCATTCCAGTTTATTCATATTTAAAATGATCCTGAGAGTCCTTTCTAATATACATGTTTGTCTTCTGTGAGTGTAATAATTATTTATTGTATCCTTGTCTTTCTCAGTCTGGAAACGGTGGCAACTAACTCCTCTCCTTCACATTTTTTTAGTTACTCTTCTTCTATAACCCCTATTTAAAGAGAGATTATCTCCACCTGCTACAAACCTGTGCTACAAACCTGCAAGAAGAGTGCTGGTGTAAAAAACACAGCACCAGCTGCATTCTCACTGGACCCGGATTTGAAGAAAGGCTGCCTGAGGAGAAGCCCAGATGTTCAGCCAGCAGTAGGAGCTGCTTCTGCAGAGGACAATGATCCCTTCCTAGCAGCTCCACAGAGGACACCCAGACATCTGCACTCAGCACCTCCACACCTACCAAGCCATGTGATAAAGCATCAACTCAGACTGGAAGTGCCTATACCTCTGCACACACAATTTCTCTGACACTTTCAGGCCCTGCTGCAGCAGTGGGCAGTGAGAAGTTCAAGCCTCGGGCCCCATTCCTATCACCACAACACTGCAGCCACAGCCCTCTTGGTGTCCAGGCTGTAGCTTCTGCTCCATTTGATACATTACCACATCAAATTCTTTTTACACTAGGGCTGGGGCTTCCCACCTTTCCATTTGGGCATCCATGCTCAGCAGCTACACAGGCTCCCTGGGCTAGCCTGCTTCCCTTCCGTGAGCCATGGCTTTCAGTGTCCATGCTGGCAGGAGCTGGTGCTGTTGCTATGCCAAGGCCACCTCCTAGCCAAGCTCCAGCGTATCCTCATTGCCCTACTTGCATCTACCATCCAAATAAATCTTTTCTAGTTGTCTTGTCCCATCTGCAGTCTCACAGTTACTGTCTCCACAACCCGGGGGGCTGCCTGAAGGGAGATGAACTGGTTTGCTCCAGCCCAGGGAAGCCAAAGGCCCCAGGTACCAGTAGCCTGCTCAGCAAAACCCAGTACAAGGGCAGCGTGTGGCTAACCCAGTAACTGCACCAGCAGCAAATGGTACACAGCAGTGCTGTACAGCACAGTCTGACCATGGAAAGATTCCCTGAATTAGGTTCTACAATAAAAGAGCTGAGTGTGTGATCCCACCTCCCAGTTTAAACATCCATACACCAGATGATGACAACTGCCTGTTAAATGGCAACTGGGAATCAGCAGGCAAACGTACTTCACCTCATGCCTTGTCCCAGTTACTTTAAGATAAGTATTGCTGAATTAGTGGCTTGGAGTCGAGAAATTAGAAATCTTTAATAGAATTTGACAGCTTTCCAGGTTTGCACAAAGTCCTCTAGAAGCAGATCAAAGTGGGAACACTAGTTCTAGTCAGGTTCACAGGTGGAAACAAATTTCCCACAAAAACATACCCAGTTAAATCACTAATTTTATGGAGGTTATCTTCCCTCCGCACATTCCACAGCAAGGATCCTTCCTTGCAGTGTGGGGCTCCCAGTGTTCCCCTTGGGGTCTACTTCCCTGCTTAGCACAGATCTCCTTCCCCAAGGTGAAGGCCTTTAGCCCCTGTCCATCAGCCCTCCCATTCAGCAGCTGGACTACAAAACACCCTGGCTGATGGAACTCACAGGTGGCCTCCTCCATTGTATTTGCCGCAGCTTATCCTCTGGGAGCAGGTTGGGACCAATGGAGCTGATGTGAGCGGGGAAGGTAGCATCCTCAAAAAGCAGTCCTTGGCTCAGGCACAAGGCTCGCAGGTGGTTGAAGTCCTGGTTATTAAATTTCTTCAGGTTCTGGAGGCTTCCCGTTGCCCCTGTTGTTTGCCAGCCCTGCTCCAACGTCAGAGCAGAGCCAGGCGCGAGCATGGTGCCCTTTTCCTGTGAGAGAGAGACATGGACTGACATTAGTTTCCTGATTCAAAGTGGTGCCTTAGGAGTACGTGGGAAAACAAACACCTCCCTCCCCCTCCCCAAGAGGATTGTGGAGCAGCAGCTTGCAAAGCTGAGGGCAGTCACAGTGACAAAATACTTATTAGCTGGAAATGCCCGGGGAACGTTTTTAGTAGTCGTCAAATCCCAACTGGTTTATCTTAAACCAGTGCTGTCACTGCTACAAATTCAATTTTGAGTCTTCCCTGAGGACAGAGAGCAAAGCTGTTAGCGAGCTGCTGTGTTAGCATTGAGGTACATCTGCAACACAAGTGAGTGTAGGGGATGGAGCAGGAGCTGCAGACACAGAGGAGGAAGGTGTCAGGAGGGAGGTACCCAGGACTCTTCTGGCCATGGATCACACCTATGCCCAAGCATCTGCAGAGCTATTTATTTCATTTCCACAAGTGAGCATTTGACGGTCGCTCTCTGTAAGTTGTAAAGAAGGCAGAGACTTGTCTTTCCTTGGGATCTGCTCCAAAGACCCCAGACAGATTAGGGGTGGTGGCTTCCTACCAGCTTACACAGATGCTCCACCGGACTCCCTGAAGGTACGGGGCTGAGATTGGACCAAACTGCAACATCCAGACCCGAATTCCACCTGCACTACGTACTCACATGAGTGTGCACCAAGGTCTGGGGTTTTTTGACTCAGTAGTTCATTTGGAGGCCAGTGTTTAAACAGATCTGAATTGTAGATTCATACTTAAACTGGGCACTCATTGCACGGCATCTGTAGTTATTCCAGTCTAGAGCATGTTTGAAACCCTCTTTGTTAACATGTCTAAAGGAAAGGAGCAATTCAGTTAGGAAAAGTAAACATTTCACCCACACAGTGAAACCCTGGAATGCACAGACCTGCTAATACATCTGCTGGCACAGCTAGGGGAGGATGCAGGAGATAAGATCTCCTATTGTGGACTCTGTCCCCTTTACAGTCATCAAAGAGCACACCAGGACTCTTGCCATCAAAGATCTACTTTTGTTCCAAAGGGAGGCAGTGCACTGTGTCCATGGAGACGCTGGACTGTGGAGTGAGAGGACTTTTGGGACATGAGTAGGGGAAGGGCACAGGAAGGTAGAAAACCTTGCGTGTTTGAACAGACTGTGGCACCAGAGCTTTAAAAGAGCAATTTGTTCCATCTAACCAGAGTAGAGGCTTTCAGGTGCACTCCCCAGAGCCTCATGGATGTACAGAGATGCACACATATGCACCATCTCCCGGGGATCTTCCTTCAGCTAAAAAGCTCTGCTGTGGAGTTCAGAGAAGTAGCAGGAAGGCTGTTCAGCCTGCCTTGCCTCCTGGTTCCTCCAGCACCTTTTGGCATGCAAAATTACATTTTGCTGGGTCAAAATATAATCCCTGCCAACTCTCACCCTTCATTTGCACTTGCCCTCACAAAACCAAAGCTTTACTGTCCTGAGCTATAATTTCCCTTTCATCTCTCTCCTTATGAAAAGAGAAGCATCTGATGAAGCCCTGCAATTAGCAGACTTTTAAGGTAAAGGAGAATCACTGTGATCACCTTCTCTGGCTTCCTGCATGACATATGCCACTGCACTTGATCGAGCAATTCCTGCACCTAGCTCCTGGTTTCCACTTAAGATGTTCCTTCTCATAAATTCGCACTGGAAAACCCACCAGGTACCCTGAGAAAGCCACTCCTATATTAATTAACTTCACTGTGCTAATTTCCAGCCTGAAGTCACTTATTTTCAGTTTCAAGCCACTGGATGCCATTGCCTTTTTTTTTTTTTTAAATAGTAGATGAAAGAGCTCTTTTCCTACCAAACAAAGTTATCTGTAGATCTGATATATTTCTGGTACGGTACAAAGAGAGCAGATGGCTTCAGTAAGAGCAAAGCCTCAAATTTTTATTGTGAACCATTCACACATGTGAAAAACACAGACCAGCCACACTGAAGGTGTGATACAACCCTCCCACACACACACACTTTTTATTTAGTGTCATCACCTTTCTTGGTGCTTCAAGTCACTTGGCCTCCTGGCATTGTAATAGCCTAGAGAAATAAGGAGTTTTTAATTTCCTTGTTTTAATTAAAAGGCTCACAAAAAAATTAGACGGAATTCAGAAATCACCCTTGGCCAACAAGAAGAGAGAACATTCCCCTTGGGCTTCATTTTTTAATACAATGGAAATAAATCTCATGTAATGTACCATAACACGACAATAGAATGGCTTCTTCTTAACAAATACTCATTTGAAACTGTGCCCAGGCCCCATGCGTGCTAAGATCTATTCATTGCAACAGTGTTCCAGCAAAACTGATTACTAATTCCAAGACTCGAATTAAAACTAACAGAGCTTGAAGGCTGGGTCTGACACGCGTTCCCTCTCTTCTGACAGAGAACAAGAGTTTTTAGCATGTGTGAGAGTGTGTTTAATTACGTTGTTTAACGTATCCGCAATTAATTAGCGACCAGACTGAAGAAAATAGTACACTTGACTACTTTTCCCTTGCAGGAATAACTTCATCAGCGCTGTGTCTTGGGGCACACATGCACAGATACATAAGCTCTACATCCATCCACTCCACTGCACAGGCAGCCCATGGGATCACATGCACCTGGCCAGCATTGTCCTCTCCACAGCAGCTGGCCACCTCTTTCAGAGCAGCATCCTGAGCCCTGGCCACAGGTTGGCTCTCAAGGGTGCATCAGCAACAGCAAAGATCACAACAGCTTTTAAAGCAGAATATTGCCTGCCTGGCTGGGAAGCTTCTTACTGTTACTGAACTCAGAGGCAGAAAGACTTTAAAGGGACAAAATTACAATGCAATGGGTCTCAGAGGTGCTGCCCTTGGACTGCTCCCTGCCACAAGACACAGGGAGAGAGGGAGGGATTTCAAACACTTGTAAAAGCTGGTTCAGACATATTGTGAAACACTGGAGAAAAAACAAGAGACTGACTCTCAATTAAGGAAGGAAATTATTATTCAGAAGGGGTTAAACACTTAGTCCTGGGATCTCCTCCAACATATTTACTTATCTGAAATGGAGAAAGGAATCACACCCATTCTACTGCTCTTTTTTGGACTCTCTTCCTTCTCAGCAGAGAGAGATCCTTCCTCTTGCTATCTGTCTCAGAGTGAGGGTCAAATGGGGAGGGAAGGGGAGCAGTAGAAAAGCTATAGAGAGAAGGAGAAAAAGAGATCAGGTGTGAGAGCTGGAAGGGATGGGAAGGAAAGGGGAGTCTCTGAGGATATCAGAGCAAAAGGTTTGGTGACCTCCACAAAAACTAACCTGGGAACCCCAAGCACCCACCATTTTCTGCATTAAACAGCTTAAAAGCCAGCAGCAAAGGGTGTGTCTTGTCTCACTCCAGCACTCATTCATGGAAGATGTCAAGCAACTATTATAATCAGGTACTCAACGATGGCAAATGCTACTGACAGCTAATTACACTTTGCATAAAGATTTATGTCAGAGTACAGACATAATTTCCTTCAATGGCTTCTGATATTTTTTTACTGAGTAGAAAGTGGAAACGGGCAATTAGAAACATGTGTCTATTTCATAGCTGAACTATCCACCTTCTCTCCACCAATTTTCTCAAAACAGTTCCATTACATCTTGGCTCAACTGGGTTTCTGTACTTGAGGAAAAGCAGCTGAATTTTCTCAGGCACTACTAGAAAAGCCAAAAAGCCATCCACCCTTCTTAACCTGCTCTCTCTCAAACAGTCCAAACTATCAACATACATTTCATCCCACCCATAATATTCAGTATACACTACAGTGACGCAAGCATTCATTCCCTCTAAGATCCTGTCATTCGTGAATTTGGAGCCTTGTAAAAACATCGAGGAGTCAGTTCCAGAATTGTCTTATAACGAAGGAAAGCATGAGTTTATTAGCTTTCCTTACATTCAGAGAAAACACAAATGAGAGAGTACTGCATTTCAGCAGCTTGCCCAGTGACAGCTAACTGCAGAGGCAAAGCAGGGACCTGAACTCGAGCATCTGAAACCCCAGACAGACAACGGCTCCTTGTACATACAATGCGTGAAAGCCTTGGGTACCTCAGAAAATCAAAACCAAAGCCAGGAACTTTGGCAACCCTCCAGGAGATTACTTTGCCAGTGGCATCTCGCGTGGCCTTCTGCTCCAAACACTCTGTGAAGTACTCCCTTCTGGCTATTTATTAAGTCAATTTTCTCCTCATTTTGCATACATAGCATAGGACAGTTCCAGATACCTTTTTTCTACCTCATTTAACAGCAGCATGCAGTAACTATAGAATCCTCCTTCTCTTAGGATCTCCACTCCCACTTGATCCAATTACTTCTGACAACTTACCATTTTACTGTAAGGCTCTTTCTAAGGATGGCAAATTCATCTTTTCTTTCCCTCCAGGTAACATTAAAGACAGGGACTCTAATTTATTCTGTCTTCCCAAGACAAATCCCTCTCAATGTGTCTGTGGTGCTTTTCCAGCATTATTACTTGTATTTCACCTGCTTCATCTTGTACTAAGTAAAACAGCAAAGTGATGCTTTACCTGCAATGCCTCCAGTGTAACTCTCCAGCCAACGCCAACAGAGTGACAGACAGGCTGGCACTACCTCCGTTCTCTTTTATAGGGCAGCTTTTCGCCACGCCTTAAGTAAACGTAACCAGGTTGAAGTCAAGTTCAGGGCCAAAAGCAAGCAATCTGAATCAGGCATAATAGTTTCGTACAGATACCATACCGTGGAAATACACATATGTACTTCTACTAGCCATCCACAATGAACTGTCTATCAACCTATGCCAGCTGATAGTCTCTTGTGGCTAACTGTGGCTTCAGTCATGGTTATCCTTTTAAGAAAACATTATTTGTTTGCACCTCCCACAATTTCACATTATCTGTTTTCCTCCTGACACCACCAGGAAATGCAGCAATCACCCTGGATCCAGGCACAGCCTGGCAGGACATTGACATTTCCCTCATGCTTGACAGAAGTATCCTCCAGAGGCTGAGGGCTTGTGTCTTTTTAACAATTGCTTTATCAGTGCCCCCTTCCCTGGCAAGAGAACCCAGCTGCCTAGCTTCCCTACCCTCCCATTCCAGGCTACTGGCCCCAGTATCTCCGCATCAGAGCGGCTAGGTAAGAATTTGCTCGCCTGGATGATGGCTATAATCTTCTTGCATATCTTGCAGCTCACTCAGGAATAAAGATTGGGTGATTACCTCTGGTTCTGCATCTTCCTCCTGTTCCCATGATGACCCTGGTTCATCTTTATCTATCACAAAGCCAACTGATTTTTTTTTTATATACTTCTTCTTCTGTATGGGGGCAATTATTACTGGCACTGGCTGATCCTTTAGCTCCAATTCATCACTCATCACCAAGATCTGAGTAGCTGCAGTATTTGTTATTGGAGCCTGAGTATCCGCAGTGCATGTCACAGGGATCAGGGTAGCCACAGTGCTTGTCGCCTGGGTCTGAGTAGCAGCAGTGCCTTTTTTCAGGGGTCTGAGTAGCAGCAGTGCCTTTTTGGGGGGTCTGCGTAGCAACAGTTCTTGTTGCTGGGATGTAAGTAGCTGGAGTGCCTGTTTTCAAGGTCTGAATATCTACTGTTCTTGTTGTGAGTCTTGGAGTAGCCACAGTGTCTGTCTCAGAAGTTTGAGTACTTGCGGTGTCTATTGTGAAGGTCAGTCTCTGGGTGATATTTCTAAATAGTTTTCTCATCTTAAACGAGACTTTAACTATGCTCAGGAAACCCAGCAGTAGAAACAAGATGGTTTGACAATCCCAAGAATATTTAAAACTTTCAAACACTCTTGCGCTTGGCCCAGGAGAGAAGGGGAAATTGTTGGAAGCTGTCCCCTTCATAAATTGTCTCTCCCAGGAGAGAAAAAGTAGTAAGTGTAATTATTAATAATATCTAGAATATAACCCCGAAAGTACAAAGATGGTGGAAATACTACATACAAATCCCAGATTATTCTCATAAGCATTACTAAACAGTACAACTGAGCGATACCCATATTCAGGTATTTGGAGTTAATAGCCAGTATAGCAAGGAACAAGTAAGGAGTCATAACCCACAGCTCTACTAACGTATCTAAAATTAAATCAATCAACATTGTGATCAGTGACTATTAAACTAATATCATAACAATTTGTTAAAACACCTTCTGTTCAGATCTGTTGTTATCTCAACTCCTCGAGCCCCACGGGGGATGCCAAAAAAAGACAATGGTAGTTTAATTTGGCTGGAAGCCATACATCAAATGGCTGCCAAGGAATTCCCCAGGGAATAGGGGAGAGAATTGGATGAGTAAAGGTAAGGAGACTTGTAGGTTGAGATAAGAACAATTTAATAACAGAAATAAAAGAAAACTTAAAATAATAATGCCAATAATAATGGTAATAATAGAACATACAAGTGAGTGATGCACAGTGCAATTCCTCACCACCTGCCGACCAAACCCGTCCTGTTCCCAGATAACAATCCTGGGAGGGCGACAATCCCAAAACTGAAATCACAATCCCAGAAGAGAGAGAGCCCAAGAGACCCTCATTAATACAGTGAACATGACGTCAAATGATACGGAATCTCCCATTGGCATATCCAAATGCCAATTTTACTATGTCCCCACCCACCCCCCCAGTCCTTGGCACCTGCAGAGTAGCAAAATATAGGGAGGCTAGAAAGTCTTTTGACTTCCAGTGACAATTGAAAACGTGAGCGTGAATACTGAAACCAAAACCCGGTGCTATTTTAGCTACTAAGAAGAAAATTATCTCTGTCCAAGCCAAAAGCCAGGATAGGTGATAAATGCCAGTGCTGCTAGCACATCTGACAGCACGCGTGCTGTTAATCGTCTCTTCTCTGGGGACGGCAGGTATATTCCCCTCCAGGTATGGTGATTCATTGTCTGGAACTGATATCTCTGCTTAAATGGTGGATTAACATGATTTAAGAAATATTCATTGCAAAGTTGATTAGAAAGCACCATCACCAGCCTGGCAGGAGATTTCAGTTATTACAGCATGACACCATTTTAAGATTGTCAGCTTTTCTGCAGAAGGCTGTATTGATGTGTCCATTTTCACAGTGGCTCCAGAGAAGGAAACCCATAAGGCAACAGGATTTATGCACAGTAATGAGCCTTTGGATTATTTGCTCTCCTAAGTGTTTGTGAAATCCTGCAAGGAAGAAGAAGGGGGGGAAAAAAAGAAAAAAAAAAGAAAAAAAAGAAAAAAGAAAAAAAGAAAAAAGAAAAAAAAAAGAAAAAAAAAAAAAAGAGGTGCTGGAGTGAAAAGCACAGGGCTGTGTGTTGGGAGAACAGGGTTGTTTTCTGCTAGTGGCACCCTGTGAGATTGTGGCAGATGCAACATTGCCCTGACTTGAGGTTTGCTTTTGCAGAGCAGGGATGTTAATCCACCTCGGGGTAGCTGCGCAGCTTAATCCACTCATGAGCAAAAGATGCTGAGGGATCACTAGAAACTCAAAACTGCTTCTACGCTGTCAGCTACCACCTCGGGGCTGTTAAAAGCACCAATAAAGGAGGGCCCCACACTTGGGACTAACAGCTGCCGTGTGTTCCTTCCTCTGGTCCAGTGGGCACTGGCACCAAAGGGCGAATACCAAGAAGTGCTGTTGAGCCCCAGTTTTCTATGAAGTTAGCATGGCTTGCAAGGTCTCAGCTGGCACCCCAGGATTTCATGTATTTTGGGATTTAATAAACCTTTATTCCTCTCTGCCCTGAAATAAAAATACACAAAAATGGACAGAACTGGGGCTTCTTTTAAAAGCTATTTTAAACTAAATATATTTATCTTCTTCCTCCTTTGCCCAGCTTTCCTGAGGGCAGACTGCTGTTCTGCACCGCCAGCAGCCTCTCTGAAGCAGGAGTTTTGTATCATCTTTCAGGGGGGTGGGGAACAGAACAGTGTAATTTCATCCAAATACTGGTGGAAGCTTTGGCATTAAGAAAGGCAACTCTCCTCACTCCACCCACAGACCTTATGTGCTGAAGTTTTAAGACTGCTATCTTTTGCAACATTTCAGACATATGTCTTAGTTTCTTACTTCTGCTGCTTTTACCCCTGTGAAGATCACACTCCTTTTTAGCAGAAATACTCCCACTTTACACCATGGTAAATAAAAGAAACAGGAAGGGAATTTTTCCAGGATAGTGAACATATTTACACTTTGTGTAAAGGAGGAATCTTCCTTCCATCACCTAAATATTTGCTGCAGCGATTGGGTGTCCCCCTGCTTTTGCATTACAGTACTAGTGGGAAAACCCTATCAATCCATTTCATTTCCTCATTCGTAATTTTGTATATAGGTCAAGTGTTACCACTTATTTGCTTCTCTTAAACAAGATGCAGGGAGGCTATGAATAATATTATTCATAGACAATCTCCTTTGCGCTGTGTTTGTGCACTCGTATTTCTGGCAGGACCTGCCCTTCTGAAGCACAAACTTTTATGACTATATAAACTATCAGGCAAATAGCAAAGCCCTACTTCAACACCCATTTTTACCCAGTCGTCACCCACGAGCTGCCCCTTAGTGCAAATTCACCATGAGTTGCAGCACTTTGCCATATTCGCATATGAATCGTTTTGCTCGTAAACGAAGTGCAACCGCTGCTGGAGTGAAATGTGGCAGCTGCTTAACAGCACAGAATGAATCCACACAGCTAGATCCTACTGCCACTTGAGGGAGGGGGGATTTGGTGTGAAAATGCATTTCTCCAGAGCCCTATTTTCAGAAGAAATATCCACCAACTTCAGACTACAGTGGGAATTCTTCAAGAATAAAAATAAAAAGAATAAAAAACCCAGGCAACCTGCTACCAACACCCATATTAGCACTAGAATTTCCCAGTGGAATATTTTTCCTTCAGAAAAATGCCAGTCTGTCAAACATGAAAGCTACTAGCAATGAATTTTCACCATGAGAAAGACACAATACATTTTAATAATGCCACTAGGCTCCATTTTGATTTTGGAATAGTCTCATTTTTTGCTTATGAAAAACCCGTCACTTCAGGATCCTCTCTGTATTATCCAAAAGGTTTAACATTGCAGTGTAAAAAAAATATTCCAAGTGTAATTGCAATAGCTCATTACATTCAGACTGACATTATTTTTCAGGACATGGTTTCCCAGGAAATTTTGGGCTTTGTTTTTCATTTGAATGAGGAACAGAACGCGAAAGCACGTTGAGTGTTCTGAACCTCTACAAAACTGAAAGCCCAGTGTGGCCCCACAGCAGTTAGCACTGAAACTGTCCATGAGAATAGGCCCATCTCATCACTGTGAGTAACAGCGAAGCGTTCCTTTAAACAGAGCTGTCACGACATTATGCTCACAAGTGATGTGGATACCCTTTCATCTGGTCATACCACTGCTGATTTGTTTTACCAGACTTTGCTAGTAACTGCTCAGCAGGGTAAGTAAGTGCACTAAGTAAGTGAAGGAGCACTTTTGCCCTTCTTACCATGGTGTCCCTCATCTGCCTTTTCAGATATGGGTATTGAATTCCATGAAAAGGCAGGGACTCCGTTAAGAGCCAGACCTTTGTGATTGGCACATCAAAACAAAGTTCTTGTTTTCATCAGTATATCAGCCCTTGTTTGGCACTTCTCTGTCCAGCCTGTGTTAAAGCCCTGTAGGCATAAGATAAATTATTTCCCACTTTTTTGTTTTATTTTTATCTTGGTGTGAACAGATTGCAACAGTCTCACATTTGTTTGTTTTTCAGAAACATTCCTGCCATCCTCTAATGAAGAATCTTTGGCCTGCAGATCACTCACTCAGTTTACTAGAAACATTTGCAGTTCTCAGTCCTCGCCTTAGTCTTTGCTGACTAGTGGCACATATTGCACAGCGCATCTTCTTCCTTGACATCTCGCCATTTGTAAGGTGCCAACAAGGATGTGCTGCTGGTATTCCACTCAGATAGGCAACTTGTTGTACGCCTTTCCTCCTTGCTCCCACAAGACATCCAACGCCTGGAGATAGTGAAGGCTGGAATTTGAGACAAGTGAGATAGCTCCCGTATTTCATGTTCTTCAGCATATACCCAAAACTGGAAAATTGGGTTACTATCCAAATCAGGGCAGAGGAGAAGAGGGATCTGAAGCTAATTGTGGCAAGCCCTAATACTGTCACAGTGGAATTAAGAGGTGGCTGGAAGTCACGGACATAACATCTTAGCCTTGTCCTGAAAGAGGCCCTTGCGGAGCTTCTGCACCATGCAGTAAGCATGTTGCATACTGACAGGGTTGGTCAGTGTTCAAATATATTGGTTCCGTGAAATACAAATAACGAGAGAGAGGGATAAACTGAATTCATTTTTTAGATTAACACTCCCGTCAGCAAATTCCTGGACATTTAAAAGATAAAAAAAAACCCAGCAAGCAGATGTTTTTCATTACTCTGGCTTCATCTTCTCTTGATTCAACAGAACTGACCTCATCTGAAGCAATAATACCCAAAAATACATAACTGCAAGGTATCTAGTAGTTTAAAAAGCAAGACTGTCTTGAAAGAGGATAGAGAGCATGCCAAGACAGAAACTTGCTGGAAAATGTTGGAAAAAAGCATGTCCATTTCAGTTACCATGTTAGGTTAAGACTGACATGGGTCTTTCTGCCTCCTGGACAGGGCAGCAGGCAGTTTTCCTTGCAGGGGTGTGAGGCTCCCAGGGTCACACTGGGCTTCCCTGGAGTACACAGGGTGCCTAGAACAGGTGTTTGTAGCATTTGGATAAATTCTGAATGTGTCCCACTGCAACCAGGAGTTACCATCCATTGCTCTCGGTAACAGACACTCCACACTTCCTCTCACATACACTGAGCCCAAACTCACTCCCATCCCACAGCATCTCCTGCTCGGCAGAAGATGGACTGCAGCACAAGGTGAAGCGTGGCCCTGCATTCAGCTGCTGCTAAGAGCTTTCTGTAAGAAAAGCAGTCCATGCTCTGTATCCCCTCTCACTAGAGACCCATTTGATCTCTCTCTAAGAACAATTTTGGGCAAGAGAAGTCATCTCACAGCTTTTGTAACAGCATCAGCACTTGTCAACATCACAGGGTTGGGCAGTTAAAAAAAACCAACCAAACAACAACCCTGAAATATTACCAGCCTGAGTACAGTCATATTTCCTCATCCTGATGACTTTGTAGCCAGATGCCTCTGAGTTTGCTCATCTGACTGACAGCCAGTAAAAAACAAAACTCTGCCCATAAAGAAGGCAGCTCAGCCTATTCTTGAGACTATGCCTGTGCTACACTATTCAGTGGTGTTGCTTCAGCTCAAGCCAAAGGAGAATTTGACCACTTATAGGAAGGAGGCCAAAGCCATGGAGAAAGCTCCAGACAGAAAGAAGCAGGCTCCTCCAGTAATCTGGGCAGTTTTGCTGCTGAGGGATACAGTCAAGGGAGGAAGAAAAAGCAACAAAAAGATTTTGTATAGGAAGAGTTTAGGGATTTAATTGGATGGATTTTTATTACCAGTACTGACAGGGAAGGAAAGATAATTTGTTCTTTTGCATTATGGCTCTGGTGGGTGCTCTAGTGCCTAGGACACGTGGAAGACCCAAACCCATCTAAGCAGAAAGAGATGCAAAGACCATGCGGTGAAGGTTTAGAGAGCAAGTGGAGAATTTAAGGCAGAGTGCCCAGTGGTGCCCTCCCTGGGGCAGTCATCCTGATCAGCATGGCATCAGGGCTCAACCTAGTTTCAAACATACAAATGGCTAAATGCCTGATGGAGAAAACTGTTCTTCCCAAATTCTGCGTTCCAAGAACTATGAAGGGCCAGCTGTGACCTGCATGAAGAAGTGTGTCAGCATATGCCGCTGCAGCACCCTTGAAAAGAAAGAGTTTATGTGTTTGCTCTCATTTTCCATCCTGTTGCCACACATCTGTGGTGTTCTAGTCATGCTGTTTTCCACACTGGCCCTTTACTGTAACCTCTCCCCACTCTATGCTGGCAGCAGGCTCCCATTACATGCATGAGCAGCTTCAGAGCAGCTCCAGCCCTGAGCTCTTTTGTCAGGATGAAAGTCCCCTCTCAGAGCTGCACAA